GTGTAATTTCAATATCGGTTATCGGCGGGTCATATATCGTTTTAGGCCGATATATCGGATTCACCTAATATCGGCCGATACCGATAACCGATAAAATATCGTTGCATCTCTAATCATAATCAAGTAAGCACTTTCATTACACTATCCAAGCAAAAATTGACACACAGCGAAATTATGCTACTGACAGTAATCTGACAATACAATTGTACAAAAGCATGTCCATATAAAATCACATTAAAAAAAAATCCCATTTTTTGCAAATTATCAATGAGTTACTCTCATAAATGTGTCAAGTCATCAAAGACATCAAAATAATGTGACCTGGAACATTTATAAAGAAAATGGCAACAGTTTCAAACTTGGTTGACTCTGGGTAATTCCAAGAGGGGTTGGTAAGAAAATGTTCCTTTAACTGTGCCATTAATATCAAACCAATCCTGACCTGACCTAATGTAACCTAAAAAGGAAACAGTACAAAATCTCTTATTGTGCTGCATAGAAAGCAAACTGAAACACTAACCTGACCAGCTTCAGATCCCACGGCCTGCCACTGCACGTGTGGAGAGCCAGGGAGCATCTGTCCCACAGAGCCTCTGTTCCTGTCAGTTTCACCTTCCCTTCCTTCCTTGCTTTGGCCGTACTTCTGCAAGGCTCAGTTGAGAGACTCATCCACAATCAGCTGAAATGATTCTTGAAAAAATGTAATTTCAAAATAGGTATGGATGACATTTGACTGTGACATCGAGAACATTCCCAATTTCTGTTGCCCAAAAAAAAGAAATTCCTTTATAGGTTTACAAAGACAAATGTGGATAAGGGAAAGTCAAATTTACCACTGTGGTAGATGTCAGACTTCAAAGAAAAGCATGTTCAACATAAGGGAAGTCAAATGCAACAGGTACACAAGGTATATCATACCCATGTTTGGGAGATTCCTTTTTGTTATATTTTCACCATTTGCAGCTTCAGGTACTTTTGCATACAGTGCTACTAATGCTACTAGTATAATTAATATCAACACGTCAGGGTTGGCCCTAGGAATATACTACCACTCTTCACTGAAATGAAGTTAGCCATGAAACAGCCATGAGAAATTTCTTATAATCACAAAAAATATAATTTTATTGTGGTTTTTATTGCTGGGGTCAATTCCAGTCATTGATACCAGACACACAATGGAAAATAAAAACAAGGATACCAGTTGAGGGTTAGGGAAACCCAAAATCTGTTTTTTTCAAATGCGAAATCTAGCATAATGCCTCAAATTGTTGGTGGTAGCATATTCCTATGACTAACCCTGACATATCAGGAACTGAAATACAGTTGACTCCCGTTATAACGAAGTCGATAAAGCTACGGGAATTATTTCATTATAATGAGTTTTCGTTATATCAGGACGGGAGGTCATACAGCTCCATTTAAAGGACTTTTTTTAATCTGTTTTATGGCCTCATTTACATATTTTATTATCCCTTTCATGCAGAGAACACAAGAACCTTCGTGGGTGTCCAGAGTAGCAACAATCACTTGGTCACTAAGAGCATATAAAAACATGGGGGAAAAAAATTGGGCTTTCAGAACATGGCACTCATGACTGCAGGTAATCTCGGATACATGTTTGCCGACTTGAAGTCGCCCGCTTCAGAAAGAATTTCTCTATGTCCGAGATTTTTCTAAGCATTTTTTCATTTCCGTGGCATGCATGATAAAGGTGCAGCTTGATCGTTTCCACTGCTTCCATAACATTCCGTGACTTGGGTATGGCTGGTTGTTCTTCCATTTCCTCCTCATTGGCAGCATCTTCTAACTCCATAACTCCGTGAGCTTCTGCACACATAGCAGGATTGAGAAGCGGCTCGCACGTGGGAACGTCCTCGTCAATATTCACGAACTGTGTGAATTCACAGCCCACTTGCAACTGAGAG